GGGGAGAGGGGGAGAGAACAAGTTTAATTCCACATCTTGATGTACTTTCCATCATGGTAAAGACAACCACCTGAAGAGCAGTGAACTGCTTCTTGAGAGTATCCTTCATGAAGATGTATCAAGCTGGAATAAAGACCTGTGGATTTCTCATAAGTGGTTGGGAAATGTTGACTCTTACCTCTTTTTACTATATTCAGATTCATAAATAGTCACCCCTGAACTGCTGAAAGGTTACATAAGCACCCTGATGGTTACAGTAAGTCAAGACGCTGGAACAAAGTGATTCTCATAAAATTATGTGGGGGAGGGTGACCAAGCAGGGAAGTGTAGGTGCTTCTTCTGGACACAGCAAGTACTGTGTTTTATTTAGTTATTTTGCATTTAAATTTTTATTCAAACTACTTCCTCAAAATCCACAATAAATATTTTACTTGGTATTGCTTTCAATAGAGCTTGATTCTCAATACTTGCCAGTTTTCTAAAAGAATGAGCAACTTTGCTATCTGTGGCACAAATCCATATACGTTCAGGGCTATAAACATCATTTTGCTTTTCTTGAGATAGTATTTGCTTCCGATCACACTTATAACTTTTAGGCATTAAGAAGATAAGTTACACACTTGAAGTTTACCACAAATATAATAAATTCAGAACAAAAATATAGTGTTTTTAGTACTATAATATATGAAACAGATAATTAAAGTTCTTATAAAAACACTGATTTAGACATCTAGGCATGTCTAAAGCCATATGCTTCATATGATGGTTCATAGCTTAATAGGTCAACATTTTAGGGCAGAGAAATTTTGCAACAGAAGTTTAAATTATTTCAAACAGAAGTTACCAATAAGTAACTTTAAAATGAAATAAAATTATATAGGATGTCACAAGGATGTGACAGCAGTAAAACTTCAACAAGCAGTATGTTTCCTAACCAGGTGTGAATTCAGAGAGCAGGTGTGAGGCACACATGTTCCCCTCAGCATTTCTACTTCTCTGTGCTCTCTAATGCATCTTGCTTAACCTGTATCACTAAATTTGTAACAGGAACAATGGCATTAACAGAATATGCCCAAAATTCAATGTGCTCTAGAAGTTTGCCTCAACTGTAGGCAAAACATCTAGCAGGATAGTCAGAGAACGTTTCATTGTTAAAAGTAGTTTCCATTTAAATGGGTGTAAAACCTACATCTAGAAAATACTAAAATGGATATAAACTGCAGCTTGAAGCTGTAAAAGATGTCTGTATACTTACAAGACAGAAAGTAAGTATATGGTCATTTATACTGATTTTAAAATATTCAGAAATGCTTATGGCAGCACAAATACAAACCCACAGTAAAGGAATATAACTAAACTTGACAAACTACACACTAAAATATCAATAAACAGTACAAGATTTGCCTATAAGCATGATTTTGCCCTCTTCAAATATAGTCACAATGAAATCTTTAAAGATGTGATCACCTACATCTTTGGCAAAGGATCGGGTTTGTGTATTCAATGAGGTTTGTAGAAATGGCTTGTTTATAGATTTGAAAGGTATTAAATAAATAAGGAAAGGAAGGGTAATCATAGTTAAAGAAACTTTCATTCTAGCATTGCCTAAGCTTTTGATACTCTTTACCAATATTCACTGGCAATACTTTTTGAAGATAATTTTTAAATAAGACCATTCTTCAGAGATTGTTAAAAGATTACCATCCAGATTAACATTCATGTAGCCCTCCTTAAGATTTTTAGAGCTCTTCCAGTCTACTGAAAGCACTGTCATCTTCCAAATGAATCGTTATAACAGACGAGGAATGATTAGCAGCAAATAGCTCTCTTGCCTGCTAGTACCACTGTCCTCATCCACTCCATGTTTTTTCATTCCAAGTCATTCTCCCTCAAAAATTTAGAGATAAAATGTTTCTTAATATTAGAAATTAACAAAAGCATATTAACTTGACTACAGTAAAATAAACCCTCATAAATTAAAAGATGGAAATGATTAAAGGCAACATCTGACTTATGCTGGGAGAAATCATTTTATATGAAACATTTCTATAGGTTTCAATACTGGAAGTGTAACAGGACACACTGAGTTCAGCTACACACTCTTAACTCAAATAACAAGGTGCTAAAGTGCTTTCAATTAGGCTCTCATTCCAATGACTGCTCTCATGCCAATACCAATAAAAATTTTACATCTACTTCCCTCCAGAACAGAGCTAATGAATAGTTTGGTGAACATAGTTCAGAGTTAGCGAGAACGCTCAACACAAGCTGCTTCAAGACAAAACTGAAGTAGTAACCAAGATTTTCTTTCTCAAAATGAGTAAGGGAAACACAATCCTGAGCCTTCCATCGTATCAGGGATGACTGAAGTGAACAAGAAATTATATGATAAGTTCACTCCCAGAAGTGTTTCGTGGATGTGTGTGCATTTGTTTGCATGCAAGGGAAAGGTGGAGGCCCATCTCCTGAAACAGGACGAGGAACCTGTTAGACCAAGAGCACTGCAGAGGAGATTCCAAACTTGGAAAGTGTTTCTTAAGGGCAGAAAATAAATTGCGCTGGAAACAAGTCTGCCAGTTGTTAGATCCTTCTGATGCCTTCTCCTGGCTTGTCACTCTTCCTTTCACCATGTTAAGTGAAGCAAGCTCATAATTAAAACCTTTTGCTCTTATTTTGAGCCCTAATTAAAAATGACTTTACAGAAGCTTTCGCTATTAGAGCGGTACAGAACTACTTCATTTATCAATTTCAGCTATGCTAGTCCTAGCCATGCTGTGGAATTCAGCCTGTAGCAAGACACAAGAGTGTTAACTAATATGGCCAAGGTCAAATCTGCAGAATACTGGCTAGTTGCAACCCTCAACTATTTAAGCAGGCTCTTTAGCAGTGTGTTGGTTAAAGTCCTCCCACTGTTATTTTGTGCCTAAAAATAATATTTATCTTTAAAAACAAAACAAACAAACCCAAAACAACCAACATTTTGCAGTTAACTCATCCTCCACAAACTGTCACATTGTAGCTTATTTCAGACCTAACTCTAAAAAGGCCAGCATATGTCTTGATTTTTTTTTTTTTAAATGATAGGTAGTTGGAATGTTGCATTTCTCCCATTCAGCAAGCACGGCCAGGCTTATGTTTGGCTAGTTTTTTTTTTGCATTTTTCTCTCTTCTGGTATGTTTTACCCAGCAAATATTTTGTACTCTCAAAAACATTTTTCACATGTGTGTATAAAAAAAATTGTCTTGACCTCAAATATATTGTCAAATAACGATCTAGTAAACTTGCATCCATTGTGTTTATCTTAAGCCAGGAAATTAACACTCAGCACAAAGCGCACTTTAGATGGAACACATGACTAATCAATGCGGGTTCACTGCAGACAGTATTTTCCTACAGTGTTAAAGTAGCGGATGTTTTCACCCAGAGTGTAGAATACAGTGTCCTCAAGTCCAGTGACAGCAATCCATTTTCCTACATTTTTTAACTAAGGATGTGCCTGAATACAGATCCTCTCCTGCTTCATGCCAGGTTGCATAAAACACATGATCTAGATGAACTGCTCAGCTAAGCAAACAATACATTTTACAAAAACTATTAAAACATAGAATTATTTTATCAGTAAAATAAATTATTCGAAAGGAAGAACTGCCATCACGTACTCAATTTTATAATTTATCTGAAAATAATTATAAATATGCATATGCAACATGTCAGACTAATGTAGCGAAGCAACTAATGTGTCTGGAAAGCACCCATTCATATTCTCTGTAGTTCTATTTTATGTTCAGTTACTACTGTGGCAAACAAAGTACTGAGAAATACTGAAGAACATGATTTCCATCCTTATGCACACGTGAATGAGGTAACATCTCTCATCTGTGGAGGCAATACTAGATATTTTAAGACTACAGTGTAGGACAAAACCAAGTTCTCTTTCCACAGGTTAAAGTTTTCTGGAATTACAACACAAAGAACATTTTTGGATATCTGTAAAATAAATGCTTCAGAAGAGATAGATACATAAACCTCCAAAACACACGGATAAATGACTGCTTCAGAAACTTCAGTTGTAACATGAGTATCAATAAAATACCTATGTAATGACTGCTTACTCTGGCAGGAGTAGAACAGGAAGTGTGTTGTGCCCCTTTGGGTTGTGCCTCGTCCTCAGGTAGCGTTGGCATGGCAGGCAGTGCAAAACACGTCGTACTGCAGCGCGGACTAACGCAACCATGCACCGCTGAGGGAGGCTGCTTCAAGGTAGCCTGAAGGGATAAGCGTTGAGAGGCCTTATGATCCACACGCTGTGTTAGATGCCAAAAATACAAAATGAGGTCTATTTCATAATCTGTGTTCTAACATTGAGATCACTTTAAAACAACAAACAGTACTAATTTTAAAAAATAAAAAGTGTCTTGAGTTTTATTAACTAAAGCTTTGAAGATCAAGTATAATCTAGTAAATGCATTTAAAAAGGACTTTTTTTTTCTTGCTTGCTATACCCACCTTTTCCCTCCATTTTACAGGGTCTTTTTGGCTACTACAACTGTTTCAGCTGTGTTTAAACTACCCTCTCCAGCATCCTCGAAAAGAGGATGGATATCCATAAAATGCCTTTTAGCAGCTAATACAGCCCTAACGCATTAAGGAACACAATCTCAGATCTCAAAGACAGAAAAATCTTTAGGAGCAAAACCAGAAACCCAGATGGTAGCACTCTTCCTTTGAGCCAAAACAAGGTCTAAGGGAACTGTGCAAAGACTTTACAAAGAGGTTCTTGGCGTAGATCTTCGTAAGACAACACTGCAGGACATTTTCAAAACAAAATAGCAATAATGACTGATTAGCAAAATATTCACTGCCAGTTAGATGAGGTAATTCCTGTTACTCACATCAACTTTAGCTATTGCCTTCACGACAATACTATAAGCATTAAAGCCTATCAAACGGTTAGAAGATGGAATATACATTCTTCCTTACAGTTACAGTAGACATATTAAAAGACTTACTGTGACACCTACCGGGGAGTTAAGGAACAGCACTAATAAACAATTTAATTATATGCAGGCACAACCAAGTAAGATTATTATCAGAGATATAATTTGTTGCACAGTTCCTGATTGTACTAGCAAGATGTAACTATATTCACTTTACAGTTCATTGGAGATTTACAGCCACTCACTAACACAGTAAAAATTTGAATAGAAGGCCAGGGAGACAAATATACCCAACAAGCACCTGTTCAACCTCCAAAACACTTCATCATCTCCCAAATCTGAAATACTAATCTCATCTTTACTGTTTTGTTATTTAGGAAATCAAGATGAGGGGAAAAAGGTGGTGATTGGGAAATGATTTAAAGTTCAAGGCCTTTAACAGAGTTCTACCATCCATTTCAGGACAAGGTATGGCAAACAAACATTCAGGAACATGTTTGTTTATCCAGACTGATGATTAAAACTGTCATAACATTTAGATTAATTAAAAACAATGACAACAAAGTCACCAGAAATACTTAAGTAGCCTCAGAAGTGACAGGTTCCTCGCCTCAGCTTTCACAGAAGTTAAAACCTACAGGGATCTGAAACATTTTGGGCTACAGTAGCAGCTAAGACCAATGCATTTATTAGATTTGTTTCACATAATACTGGAAACTGTATATTTCTTTTGCTAAGAGAGTCAGAAATAAAGTCTCCTCATATGAAAATTAATGCAGAATGAACAGTGTGTTAAAGGGGAATTAAAGGGTCAAATATGTACACAAGGGTTAGTATGTTTAAAAACAATAGTAATTCCACTGAAGTTCTTTAATAAGGATAATAGAAAAGGTACAAAAGAAATGACCTGATTATGAAGACCAAGATATTCTTATATTTCACTTTTTCCACACTAAATGTAAGTTTTTTTCAGAAGCAGAATATGCTAATCATTGCAGGTAGATCCTACGAGTTTCAAGGATTTATGCACATATGGAACATATTAAGGGTGAAATTTTAAGTCTACTGACTTGCCTGGAAATTCACTTATGTATTTTACCCATCTCTGACTTCAAAAAAAGTAGAGGGTGTATTCCACAAATAAATGTAAGATTTTAAAATAGGCAAAATATCTTTAAAGTTGCTACTATGATGTAAAGTAGACATATATGAGTATGTACATTTTAATGAACTCAGAGAGATCAGGCAAATAATGGTAACACCAAACCTCTGTGCATTTCAATAGCTAAATATTCTTGAATCAAACAAGAGTTACCAACTATTAAAATCACAGGAAGAGGAGACACAGTCAAGGTAACCCAGGAAGTGGCATGAATTTGTTTTCATCTCTAACAAAATCCTGGCATTTGAAGACATTTATGACTTCTGCAAGAACATAAAACATTCAAATAAATAAATAAATAAAAGAACAAAAGAAGATACAAAGGAGGATGTTTATATAACCAATGAGTGATTGCTCTATTAAGTTAGAATGGTTCTGATTGGCTCAAAAACCAGAACGCTGGCCCTGAAAAATCAGGCCTGTCCAAAGTGTATTTGTTGAGTCCTATGTGGAGTAGTATGAACATCAGTTCATTTCCTGCCTTAAGTCCCTAATATATACTAAACTTGAAGTAATGGAAGTCAAATTGAAACAAGAGAGACTTTAAGCACAAAGTTCAGTTCATTTTTTCAGATTGAAAAAAGCAAAACAAATCTTTTAAAAGAAAAAACAAATGGAAAAACAAAATATAGGCTTATCTCAGAATAGAAAAGGATAAATCATGAGTTGCGTTGTCTTAGAGACATGGCACAGAAAGTACAGCCAAGGGAGAATGGAGGATAGAGAGATGAACTTATGCCACATTAGTAACACCCTGATTTGGTGCGGACTGAGTTCAGCCACTATCTAACACAACTAGGAACTTAGTCCAACTTCCTTACAGAGCTATCTTATAAACAGGAAACACTTCCAAAAATTTGTGGTGCTCATCAGAAGAAAAATTTATTCTTTTGACCTTCCTTTTGTTCCCAATACCTCTCTCCTAAAACCCAACATCAAGGTCCCTACTGGAGCAGCAAAAGTTTGCCTACAACTATTCGTATTCTGAAACAAATGCCACACTTGCATTCCCTTGACTATACTCTTGCATCAAGAATTAGGCATCAAAAATTGGATGCTACTTATCAGTATTTCAAAAAAATAAATAAGCAAATGGCTTAATTCATGAACTATATGGACTAGGATTCCTGAATGTTTTCAATATAAAAGCTACTTTTAACCTGTACAGGATTCTTGAGGAAAGAGTCACTAAAGGATCTGACCTACTGATTTTGCACTGCCTAAACAGCCAACACGACACATGTAGTAAGCACAAACGGATATACTCAATAGAGAAGTCATGTTGGGCAAGGGGAGTTTGGCCACTTCCTGCATCAGTTACTACTTTGTGATACAAAAGTGGGAGACAGGAAGGTTTACAAAGGATGGAAGAACAAGATACTCGTGAAGCAACACTCTTGCACTATTGCTACAGTGACCCTCTCCAGCTGGCTGACTGTACAATTAAAATAGCCCTAGTAATTGTCAGCAAGAGTCAGAAAAAGGAGTGTATCAACATACAGAAAAGGAGGGCATCGTTGGAAAGTTTTAACAAGAACTACAAGTATCCTGGAGCTTGTATGAGATGCATAAAAAGAAATTACTCTGATAATTCACTTTGTGCAAGATTAATCTTTTCCCCTTCAGTAGGACATTAGGAAGCACCAGTGAAACCTTGAAACCTGTTCCACACATCTGTCTGCAAAAGCAGCCTACAAGCTTACTGAGTCCTGAGCCAAAGTGCATAGAACATGATTATCCTAGAATCATAGAATGCTTAAGATTGGAAGGGACCTCTAGAGATCATTTAGTCCAATCCCCCTGCACACGCAGGGTCACCTAGAGCACGTGGCACAGGACTGCATCCAAGTGGGTTTTGAAGATCTCCAGAGAAGGAGACTCCACAACCTCTCTGGGCAGCCTGTTCCAGTGCTCTGTCACCCTCACTGTTAAAAAATTTTTCCTTAAGTTCCTGTGGAACTTTTGGTGTTTCAATTTGTGGCCATTATCTTTAGTTCTATCAGTGGCCCCCACTGAAAAGAGGCCAGCACCATCCTCCTCACTGCCTCCCTTGAGGTACTTATAGACACTGATCAGGTCCCCTCTCAGCCTTCTCTTCTCCAGGCTGAACAGGCCCAGCTCCCTCAGCCTCTCCTCATAGGGCAGATGTTCCAGGCCCCTGATCATCCTTGTGGCCCTGCGCTGGACTCTCTTCAGCAGCTCCACATCCCTCTTATACTGTGGAGCCCAGGAGAGGGGGGAGGGGGGAGATTGTTTTTTTCTGTTATTGTAAATTTATTGTAAGCTTAAAACAGTCAGGAAAAAAATCCTCCTGAACTCAAGTTTGCAGTCAGATACAGATCAGTGAATGCAGAGAACTTTCTTTTACCACTATGCAGGCTTAGAATACAATCTCCAGGAAATGGTGATCTAGGAGCTCTATTCCATAAAAGGGAAAAGTATTCAGAGGCCCTTGGCTTTCACGATGTTCTCTCTGCAACTTATTTTACCATAGCACAGAAAGCTAAGTATAATCAGTTAACTTACCCTCGCTGGGTCACAGACAAGCACCGAATTAGCAAAGGCTTAGAATAAAGGTGACTTACTCCATCTTCACTGCTAGTTTAACAGCTGACCTCAAATGCTCTGTCAAATTATAGCAAAAAAAAAAAAAAAAAAGTATATGTATGTATACAAAGGGAGACAGCACGCACACACATACACAGAAATAAACAATTAAGAACATTTCTTGACCTCATATTGCCTCCAGCAAAGTCAAGCAACTTGTTCATCAGCAATGGGAGTTGCAAACACAGCTGAACTGAAGAACTTTTTGTGCTGCTTTCTTTGTAAAGAAAGTCACAAAAAGTCCTACAAAGTGGGCATAAAATGTTAGAAAATGAGCTTTTAAAACTCCCTTTTGATAGATATAAAAGTATATGAATTCCATGGGGCATTTTCAATTAGATTTTTGAAACTTGAGTTACTTAAGGAACACCAAGTTGTTATTTCATTCAAACAGAATGTGAGCAAAACATTTTCCCTGTGTTTTGTATCATAGGATAAGCTTTTCAAACACAAAGCAGTGTTTTAGTATTTAAAATATATAAACATATTTTGCTGGCATGGATTGCCTATCTCAGAACAACAAA